ATAGGTGGTGAAATCTTGCATTGATTCTCACGATCACACATTTTAGGAACTCCGGTGGTGTGAGGTCAGGGTCAGCTGCTCAACCATTTCTGAGTTTACCGACAACTACAGTGACTTCAGCCAGCATAGAAAGGGAGGTGTCGATTTTAAGATTCGGATTTGAAGTGGCGGCAGCATCCTGTAGTTCTCAGCATGACGAGGTTGCAGCAAAGTACAGAACCGATTCCTTATGCTTAGCCATCAGGATGATATTTCGATAGTCAGAGTACACACAATTCTGTCCAGCCGTTTGATCGGTGCAGCATAGGGCGGGCAGCGGTTCTCCCTGAGAGGAGTTTGATCGCTCGGTACGCTGACTTATTATGCCACATGCCTTCCTCTGCCTCGTCTGCTAGTCTCTTGTGGTATGCATTTTGGTCGGCCCTGGCCTTCGCGTTGAATATGCCTTGCAAACACCGCTGCTTCACGTGGTCACCCTTTCTGCGAACTTCGACGTTTTTTAGCAAGACGTCGAACGTCTCGTCGAAGAGTTACACCTACTTTTATTTCGCTTTAGGCCGACTAACTGTTTTGCTGACCTCGTTATGGACGTGAGGAGGTTATCCCATGGTGTTCTCGACGTCATCTGAATCGATGAAGCCCTGGGCTCGCAGACCATGGCCTCTGTCGTTATCGCACGCCTCCTGTATTTGATTGTCCTGGACATGGCGGTCGGTATTGGATTGTTTGTTCGTCTTGACGGGTTTGGCGCGGTGTGTAGGTAGTAGGCAGATTTAGCCCCAACCAATCGATGGTCAGTGGGCGTAGGTGCTTCTAATCCACGGATCAGGATGTGGTTGATTTCTTTGGCCGTGTGACCGTCGTTAGAATACTACCGACGAATCCTGTGGCTTGGGAACTACGAGCCCATCGCCGAAAGACTAACAGCTGCGCGGAGCGTCAGGAGGTGGATGGAGTTGTTATTTACAGCACCAGAACTAAAGTTCCTTGTCTTTGACTCGAAGCTGGAAAATTCTTCATCGATTTTAGTAATGTCGTCGCTGAGAACCAGTAGTTCATCATGTGGAGGGAACGGCTGGCATGGTGGATTCCAGTTGATAGATAGTAGAAACAGTCTTTCTCATCGTAGGAAGCTTCTTCTCTCGGTGCATATACGATGACAATCGAGATGTGGCTGCGGAAGTGGCTGATGCGCGCTTGCAGTGTTCGGTCCGAAACTGGCTACAGCTGCGCACAGACTGTTCGAATGGCTGTTTGACGACGAGTGCCTATCTTCTCAGTTCTTATGTCCGCCAAAATGCAGAAAGATGTCTTCAGCGCATTAGAAGGAGACCGCTGTCCATAAGACGGTCTTCGGAGATGCCTGTTAAGATGTCACTGCAAGTCAGTACTTGGATTATGATGGTCAGGTAACCCGGCCTGTTGACGGCGAGAACATTCCAGATGAGATGACTACCCGAAGTAGCGACCTTGATTTCTGGATGGTAATGTTTGGAACAGGGATAGTTAGAATACAGCCATGTCCTGTACAGCATTGAACCACTGCGTCAGGGCTTTGAGCTGCACTCGCTACAGGGCCATAACCATCTACAGTGAAAAGATTGGTCGGATCTTTTACATTGGGACTAGTAGTTGTATTCATTATGGTTTGTTGAATTCTCCCGGCTACTCTATCTAGTGGGGTTATTGCTGGATGATATGGCGTTAATTTGTTTTCGCCCGTTTTGTCCTTCTTGTCACTACATGACCAGTGTGGCTCAATTGACGGTGCTCTCAACTAACTCGCAAACAGATGCAGCAGTTGGTTCGTCCAGATTCGAAGGCGACGACAGTTCGGAGCTTCGGGAAAAATTTGGCCACTAAGCGCACGAAATCAGCCGTCGAGAGGCAGGAGATGGAGGATTTGGCGCCAGAGATGAGTTGCTAGCAGGCGACCGAATAAACAGACTTTCCGCCTAATTGTTCTTACCGAGTGTCCAGGGGCTGCACCGACCCTATTCTAGTTTTCTTGATCTTCGAGCGATAATTTGATTTCCTGTGACGTGATAAGTAGGTGCTGGGAAGGACTCGACTGTTGGATTTTCGAATCACTTATTTCGCGGATTGTTTTTTTTCAACCACACTGCATAGACTTTTCCTAGAAGGTTGTATAAAACAGTGTCCGGCTATTTGAGCATTCGCTATGAACTATTTTCATGAATAGGGGTACTGAAACTCTGTTAACCAATACACTTGTGCGTCCCGATAGGCCCTGCAGATTCAGCGACGCGTGCTGACTCTTTTTTGTTTTTTCTCATAAAGCTTTAATATTTCAGAGCTTTAATTATCGATTCCAACACATCTGTCACTACTTCTCAATCGTTTAACATCTGTAACGTAATCCGCTGCAAGGTTAATATCCGTTGTTTCCTGCTCTTCAGCAGACTGTTTCTGCAGTTGCTCGGAGTCAAGCAGTTTCTCAAAGTATTCTGTCAGTCGCCGAGCCACGCCTCGTCTTCTGTAAGAGGACGTCGAGACTCGTCGTTCAGAACACTCAGATTGCATCCTTTTTTCCATCTCGCAGGACTGCTTGGTCTGCCAGAAAATCTTGTTTGCCGCCAGGAAGTTTGACAACAGGCCAATAAATTTTTTCTGTGAATCAGCTTTCACTGTAGCTGATACTTTGCTGACGCCTTACTGCTTCGAAACGAATTCGAGATGATGGTTTCTGCTTTCAGGCTGCGTCTTGAACCCAGCTGTCTCCCCCCTGACTGCCAATTTGGCGTCTGTTGTCTGTCTGGCGGTTCAGTTCTTTAAGCCCTGGGCGGCAGTATAATAAGTTTGAAATCGCCGCGTTCATCTCAGTGTTATTTTCGTGTTTAAGAGCTTGTACTAGGTTTCCACGTGTATCAGCGTCTTTGCGGGATGTTCTAATCGTCGTATGCTGTTGTTTCCCAGTTTCACATTCACATTCTGTATATATATTTAATCTTTTGGTAAGTCGTAAACGGGAAGGCAACGCATAGAGTGTTCTTTAATTAAGTTCATCTGACGTTTTGGACCAAATTTGGTCCGTCTTCAGAGCACAGTGACAAAGGGCACGTAATGTTTTCATTCGGGTCTGATTGAAGGTAATGGTGTCGCGTTTGTTTTCTGGTCTTAATTGGATATTTGAAGTCCATGTGTCGCTGTTGTCTGTTCCAAGGTCACGACTGATACAGTTTGTTGCTCTGATCAACAACGCTTCTTTGACCTTGCGGGAAAGATATTGTTGTTCCCGCGTGACGCCTTTCATTTTGTCCCATGAGATATTGTGTTGGTGGGTAACAACATGTTCCACAATGGCAGAATTTTTCTCACATTCTGCCTTTACAACCCCAGGGTCTTTCGTCTGTCTCCGATCTCTGCCGACTTGCTGTTGACCCCTTTCTCTAGCATCTGCGTTCTTCCTCCTGGTCAAATTCCTCCTGTGGTCTGTCTTTCTTTCTTCAACCGTGTTACCCATTTCGCCTATGTAAAGCGCACCACAGGAACATGGGAGTTGGTACACCCAACCAGCTTTTTGCTCCTTAGGTTTTTGGGTCTTGAGGTGGCTTAGGCGGCTACGTAGAGTAGCAACGGGTTTGAATATTAGGTTGAGTCCGGAAGCAGATCCAATGCGTCACAGCTTTTCACTCAGTTTGCGAACGTATGGCAAGGTGATGTAGGTCGTGTGATCAGATGAGCTGGTAGACGCCTTTTGTTTAGACAACCTCGTCAAGCCTTCTTTAAAGACCTTCATCGGTAGCTGTTCTTTTTCAGCGACGATCTGATGTGATTTAGTTCTTGGCGGAAATCATCATCATTTGTACATATCTTACGGCCTCTCTGGAGAAAAGTATTGACGACACCTTTCTTTGCGCAATCTGGATGATTAGAAGAGTGATGCAATTACTTATCAGTATGCGTCTTCTTGCGAAACACCGTGGTTCTTAGACTACAAATTCGACAGGGATGCTGGTGAAGAGGTCCAGTCGTCGTAGCTCACCAAAATTTTATCGTTGTCATTTATTCGTGGAACAATCTCTTCGACGAACTTCTTTAAATTCTTTTTTACATATGATTTCAACTTACCCGTATACGACGGATTGGTAGGGCGGAGCAGTCGCCTACCAAAGCTGAAATGCAAGATGATGATGCAACAGTAGGTCGCATAGGAATATTCAACTTGTGGATCTTTGGTAAGCAGTACAGTTCAGGAGGGGACCAATTGCATTTGTACCGGTTTCAATAATATGCCCTTTGCTTGGAGAGCACACATTTCATTCTCCTTTTTCATTGTTGTTATCACTTTTTTCAGGGACTCTATCAACCGTTTTATTCGATCTTCATCTAGCAGGCCGTAGCCGTTGTTAAGCAGCTCTGCGCTGCTAGACAGATATTTCTCTTTATCCATAACCACGGTTGCGTTTTTTTATCTGCTTTTATTATGGCAATGTTGTCATTCATTTCCATTTGTTTTGGGGCAATTTGTTCAGACTTGCTTAGATTCTATCCAGTTATCTGAAATTTTCGAACCTCAATTTTCTCTTTGAAGTAGTCCTGGTCCCCACCAGTCTTTGGTGACTGCCGATGTTAAAGTGCCGTTTACAGCTCTACTGCTGTGTCTAGGATGATATAGCGTTTATCGAACTGAACGAAGTTGATTTGGATTTTCTTCTCCTCGCAGGATGCAGTTATTGTCCACTTCCTGTTGGCCTTCTTCAGATGGAAGGCATGGATATTTCGTTTTTCCCATGGTCATCAGTCGGTCGCCTCGTTCATTTCACTGTCCCGTGCCGTACCCGCTGACGAACTTTTCATCGGCGATTACTCGTCCGATCTTGTCACTGAAGTCTCCCATGACGATAGTGTGCATGGAATTTGGGATGAATACCTGTTCTAGTTCTTGGTGAAATTTTTCCATTTTCTCCTGGGATAAATCCAGTTCCGCCTATGGCCTTGACACCTTTTCCTCTTTCTGGCCAAGTGGACATATCGTCTTTTCAGGTGCCATTTATTCCTTTTCGCTCTCGTGTCTCGGAAATTCTGATGTCAAGGCAATCTCTGACCTTCCCTCCAGTAGTTGGTTTAACATTTCTTCCCTCGTCAGTGTTCTACCGTTACGTGTGCAAACGCCGAGGGAAGTTCTGGTTTATTTGCCAGATGCGGCCAGTCTCCTGGAATTCTTAGCACCATGTCTTCAATCGAATCACGGCTATGAAACGGGCCGAGTGACAATCGAAGAGTGCTGAGGCTCATTTATTCGTATTGTTATAGCTCACGACGTTTTTCTACCCACTGGCATGGCTGACGGTGGCCTGTAGAATTTCGTGCAGACGGGTCCCCTAATTGTGCTCGCTTTTTTAGCAAAGTTCTTTTTTAGCTTTCGACGAACCGTCAAAGGTTGCTGTGACAAAGTCACCATGCCCAATGGCAGTCTCGTTTCAAGCGACAATGACTTAAGAAATGCGGACCGAAACTTCAGACGTGATTTATCACACAGTAGACTTACAGTTTTGTTTTGAATTTAATTAATAAACCGTTTTTATAAGGTATTTTAATATGAGTACTGACAAATGCCAAATGCTCCAGTCTATAGAGAAATTTATGCACGCGTTTCAAATACCATTTAAAAAAAGAGGTTTTCTTCATTGGCTTCAAACTTTGTGGAGAACTCTTGGAAACTCTTTCTATGTGCGAATGGTTCGTAGTTGTAGAGGTCTTAGATATTTTGCAGCTAATTTTGAGACTTTTCTGTTAGAGGACTGTTGACAGTGTAGGTACAGTATTGGTTTGAAGGAAACATTAAGTGATTGTACGCTTTTAAATTAGCACCGGGAATAAGGTGAAACAACCGCATGAGCCGAAAGTTGATCTTGTGGCTTTAATTCCACATCCCCTGTGCACAACCGCAACAGTCAGTTTCAGCAAAGTATCTTACATTGTGGAAAATCTGTGAATTTAAGACTCAAATGTCAGCACTCCTTTTTAACTTGATAAATCGAGTTTTGGAAATGTGTTAAATAAAGCTTTATTTCCTGTTGTTTTACCGTTCTCCTCCAGCATGCAAAAATCTTTTCATCTAGGATGTCTTAAACTACGTAAAAGAAAAGAAAACAACATTATCGTAAAGTTTGGTTTTTCTTTTCTGTTTCTGTTTAGAGACCTTTGCCAAGGTAATTAGTGACAGACTGGATTCAGATGCATTACTTACGAACTGGATTCATTGCGACCAGTGATCAGGTGAAGAATCCTCAGTGACTGGTTGAATGTGTCATATCGTATTGCACGTTCAGCTGCTAGAAGTTGATCCAGATTTCTCCAGCATGGGCAAGGCTCAGTGATCTCGTTTAGGAATTAGAAACTTGTTTTTTTCTAGCAGTCATTAAAGTTAATTGAATTGAAGTTCCTTGTAGCGTTTTGAGGAAATGTTCTAAAGACCGAATTAGGATATGTGAGATCGAACATCGACCGACCGAGATTGTATGACTCGCATAGCGTACTTTCCTGCTTTATGTTTGTTCCCACCGATGCTTGCCTGTTTTTCATGTAGTTTTTTATTTTAGAGGCCTACGGCCAAGGAGCTTCTGAAGCACCCGTTCATCAAAAAGGCTAAGAAAAATGTTATATTGACAGAGCTCATCGACCGCTATAAACAGTGGAAGGCACGCACTGGATCAGAAAATCGATCTGACGACGAAGATGGGAACGATGATGCGGAAAACGTGTATGAGGATTATTTTTCATATAGTATTTTGCGTTCTTGTAAACTTTGAGATATGTTATTATTTCATAGTATGAGAATCGTTGCAAGGACGCTTCTTAGAAATTTGCCCATGTATATACGTTATAAATAACCGATTCAGTGTCCTGTGCGGAATGCATGAAGAAGAGACAGGAGAAGCAGCGAACTTCAACGCCGAATATCAGGATATAACGAAGGCAGTCATATAAGCAGCGAAAAGCATACACAGAACAAGCACTTCGAAGGGCGACCGAAAAATCTCGAAGCAAGCGAAAGATTTCAGAAAGAAACACGGTGAAATGAAGACAGCGAAAGATCGGAGGTCGAGTACGTGGATCTTTGCAAAACGTTAAGAAGATGGATCACCGAAGATGTTCGAGCATTCGACTGTAGACTGGTGAAGGAAACCGCTGAAAACAAGCAGGGTATGAAGAAATTGACTGTTGGAAAGTGGAAAATTTCATCTATCAAATCATTAAACGGGAGCGTAGTAAAGAATCAGCAAGAAATTTTAATGCAAGTGGAAGATTTGTTTAGAAAACTGACGAAATTCCAGATATCTTTTCACAAGAAACGAGACATGCAATGAAACGGTCAAAACAAATAAGTACTCCTCTCGAACACGGTGTTGCAGCGGAACTCGTGAAATCAGCAGGTGAAGCACTGACAAAGGTTTTGATGCGTTTCTTTTCATGCTGCCTGAACGAACTGATATTTGTAACTATTGAATACCCACATTGGTAGTTGTACTCCACAAAAAGAGAGAATTTGAAAAATTGCAAGCCCATCTGTTTGCTGCCAAACATTTACAAGATCTTCGATGGCACTGATGAAGAGACTTCAGGAAGTACGCGAGATGTAGTTATGGATCTATTACGATAGATCGTCTCATGGTGGTGCAAAAAGTAATTCACGCTATCCTCGAATATCAGTTTCTTCTCTGCCCTGTGTTCATCGCTTTCGAGAATGCGTTCGGCTCAATCTGCATCCATTCGTTACTGGTTGCCGTGAGGAACGAGACAGTCGAAGAAAGATACATGAACCTGATGGCCGTGATTTACAAGAATGCACTGCTAGTGTGAATCTTCACGAAAGGACAAGTCAGTTCAAAGTCGAAAGTGTGTCTGAGAAGAATGCGCAGTATCATAGAAGTTATTCACGGCAGCACCAAAAGAAGTCTTCAAGATTCTCCTTTGGGAAAATCAAGAACCAAAGATGAATGGGTACTATTTAAGTCACTTGCGGTTTGCGAATGATATTCTGATCCTTCCAAGGTCACCAGGAAAACTCCAACAAGTTCATGTTTAACAAATATATGATCCCGCGACATGTTGAAGTCAATAGATTTAGGCTTGAAGAGGAGCAGAATTTCGTCTGCCTGAGATAGCTGACCTTTGCCAACGAGAATCAGCTCTGCGAAATCGACAGAAGAGTAAAAGTGGCATGAGTCGCTTATGGAAAAGTGAAAGCGTGCCTCTATGAGCAGCTTTCCTGATGCTTGAAATGGAAAGTTTTCTTTTAGTGTGTGCTCTCGGTGCTAAGCTATGAGCGCGAAATGTAGAGCCTATGCCTGAAGGCTATTCATAAACTGCAGACCACGCAACGCAACGTGAAACGTGGTATGTTGGGAATAACGAGATACGACGATGAATGACTGATCAAGAGCACTAACGAGAGTCTGCAGTGTCATTGTCTAATTGAACAAGTTAAACTGGCAATAGGCTAGACATTTTGCAAGA